CTCTGTCTCTGGTGAAGCCTCTCACCGCCCCTGAGCCTCTGGCCTGTACCCCAGTTCTGTATGTACAAATAAATAAATCTTTAAAAAAAGAGTAAAAATAGATTTACCATATGATTTAGTAATTTAATTCCTATTTATTATCTATGCAAAAAGCATAAAAACACTAACTCAAAAGGAAAACTGCATTCCTATTTTTATAATGGTATTTACAACATGATATGGAAACAACCTAACTGCCCCAGAACAAATGAGAGAATCAAGAAGATATTGTGTGTGTAAATATATATATATATATGCACAATGGGATACTAATCAGCAATCAAAAAAAGATAAACTCGGGCCCTCCCTGGTGGCACAATGGGTTAAAGCACAGCACTAAGAAGCTAAAGCCACTTCTGCATGAGTTTGATCCCTGCCCCGGAGGTGTCCCACATGGCACAGCAGACCTCTCCTGACCCGCCTGCTGCTCCCCTCAGCAGTGTATTTCCACAGTCTGCCTGTTCTGCTCCCCACTCTGTCTCTGGTAAATCCTCTCACCGCCCCTGCAACTCTGGCCTGTACCTCAGTTCTGTAAACACAAATAAATACATCTTTAAAAAAGAAAGGAAAATAAAACTGATAAAAACAGAGTTGTGGGAGTTATGAAAGAAGAGGGAGAAGGTGGAAGTGGGGGATTCGGCACTGGAGTTTTGGTGGAGGGTGAGAGAACTGTGTATTCATATGGAGGCTGAAGTCTTACTCCAAAATTAAGTAATAGTGTAAAAACTGGTGAATAAAAATAACAACATTTAAATCCTTGTGTTTCAATGGACACAAAGGACTTACATCCAAAATATATAAAGGAGTTTTAGAAATCAATAATGAAACAATATGAACTCCAATTAAAAATGGGGAAAAGTATTTGGATGAACATTTCTTCAACGAACTACAAACATCCAATAAGTACATGAAAAGAATGTTAATAGCATAAAATATTTGGAAAAAGTAAATCAAATCCATAATGAAATATCACTTCATATCCAACTGGATGGCAAAGGATAGAAGGAAATATATTAAAGTGGATGTGGAGAAACTGAAACCTCATAAACTGGGGGAACATGCCTACTGATGGCTCTCTCTCAGGTCCTTCCATCAGTTATTAAAGAAAAGCCAGGTGGCCAGACTCCATGAGAAGCTCTACACCTGAAAGAATGACTTTAGATTGAATTCAGACATCCGCTGAGAAGGCAAATCAAACATGCTTATATATCACAGCAATTGACAAGCCATTAATTATGCTTGCCAAGAAAAGAAGAGAGGAAGCCCAAATTAACAGCATCAGAAGTGAAATTACAACAGCTGTTACAGGGTAGCCCAGAGTGGGCTGGGCCGCCTGTCTGTGGGGCCTCACCTGTGCACTCACAATTCAGTTACACTGCAGGTACACACAAAAGGGTCAATAACGGGTTTATTTACAAAAGGGGAAGGGAATAGGAAACAACCCAGGGAAAGAGAGCGGGATACAAAGTAACTGCAATACCTTCCCGCTAGGTTGACAGAGTCACAAGGTCAGGAGAGCTGCTTCCCGAGTGAGAGAGAGCATGAGATGCAATCGCGCCCTATTTATCCCCCAAATGTCCCAGAATTCCTGCTAGCTCCTTGGGTCCTCGCAGTTCTCTCCCTGGTACTGCTGGGAGTTGTAGTTTCCAATCACTGGAGTAGGGTGTAGGGTCCAGAAAGCTGGAGTAGGGGGTGGAGTCCATAAGACAGCAGAGTTCGGTTAGGACATCCTTCCCCTTAATACAGCTACTGTGGAAATACACGTAGCTTAAGAACCTATTATAAAAATCTCTATTCAAACAAGTTGGACAGCCTAGAAGAAATGAAAAGATTCTTAGACTCATATAAACAAGACTGACCCAGGGTGATATGAAGAGCTTAAACTGTCCATTCGCAAATGCTGGACTTGAAAGAGTATTAGAAAGCACCTCAGGAACAAAAGCCCAAGACCAGATAGCTTCATGAATAGCCACATACAAAAAAATAAAGTATACCAATATTTAACAGCACACATGAAAATTCACTCAAAATGATTAAAGTTTTAAACATTAAATCAAAATCATAAAGTACTTGAAAGAAAATACAAGGAACACACTCAAGGACACCCACCCCAAAGATGTATTTAGGAATAAAACTATAGCTGTAAATGAAACAAAAGCAAAAATAAAAGAGGACTATATCAAACCTAAAAGTTATTGCACTTCCAAAAAACTCACAAAAACAGAGTCCACCTACAGAATGGGAAAAAAAAATGCATTTCATACATCTGATGGGGGTTAATCTCCAAAATATGCAAAGAACTTACACAATCCAACCACAAAGAAATAAATGATGCAATTAAAAAATGGGTAAAGAGGCCCTCCCTGGTGGCGCAGCAGGTTAAAGCACAGCACTGAGAAGCTAAACCCACTTCCGCATGAGTTCGATTCCTCGCCTGCCCCAGAGGTGACCACATGGCATGGCTGACCTCTCCTGACCCGCCCGCTGCTCCCCTCAGCAGTGTACTTCATCAATCTGCCTGTTCTGTTCCCTACTCTGTCTCTGGTGAAGCCTTTCACCACCCCTGAGCCTCTGGCCGGTACCCCAGTTCTGTGTGCATAAATAAATAAATCTTAAAAAAAAAAATGGGCAAAGAACCTCAATAGACACTTTGTATAGAAGACATCCAAATGTTCAACATCACTTATTATATGAGAAATGCAAATTAAAAACTTCATCCCTGTGAGAATGCCCATATGAAAAGAAAAGAATTAACAAATATTAGCAAAGTTGCAGTGAAAAGGGAACTTCCAGTATTGTGGAAATGTACACTTGCACAGTCCCTGAGAAAGAAGCCACAGATGCTAGGGGAAGAGATGTTGATCGTGCGGAAGGGACCCATGGGGTAGGGACTGGACAATATAAATGGATAGAATCCATCTTAATATTGCCTCTACTTCTGGCAACCCTTGATATATGAAGAGTCTTTTAAGAACAAAAGCCCAGGTATAATTAAACAACTCATAGAGATGTAATGTATAGTGCAGGGGTTATAATCAGCAATATGATATTGAAAATGTGACAGTTACCAAGGAAAGACTTATAATGAATATTATTGTATAATGTACACATATTTCATATGATTATATTGTTCATCTAAAGTTGATGTTATGATCCTTCAATTAAAATAAATGTCAATTATACTTCAAAATAAATAAAGAAAATGGGTAATTCCAAGAAAAAATTAAAAATCTATCATTTTGTATGACAATTAAAAAAAATGAAACACGGACCAAATTCTTAGCTGCTCTGGATGGAAAGTGAGGATTCAACTAAGGAGCTATAAAATAGAAAAAGTGGTAATGCAGAAAATGGGAAGTTTGGAAAGATATGTAAAGAGTGACTAGCAAAGAAAGAAGCGGCAGGCACCTCGCAATATTGAGAAACAAGTTTTATGAGGTGATAGACAAGGCAAGATGGTCAAGTGATATGAAGATCTTCAGTAGTAAAAAAATTAAAATATTGATGATAATGAGGTAAGAATAGTAGGAAGTATCGATAATTAGGAATAGTAATTATGAAAACATTTCAAGGGTTTGTGAATAAAAACCAATCCTGTCAAGGTCGGGAGGGCAAAATCTCAGGGGCTGTAGCTGAAAGAAGGAGGTAGTCCTTATCTGCTGTTAGTTTCATCTTAAAAAAAGGAATGATTCCTTATGCTGTGTGAGAACAACCATTAAATCTGCTCTCAGGAATGGTACCAATTTTTTCATTGCAATCCTCTTAGGAGAACTGAAAGGAAGCTGCATAACAAAGCCAGTAATCAGGAAGTTGCTTTTAATAATCTCAACTTAGATCAAATGAATTTTGAGATTTCTACCTAAAGTGTACTTTCCGTGGGGATTATAAAAGTCATGGAAAAAGCATAAATTAATTAACCATGACAAGTGTTTTAAAAGCCTTGAAATGAAACTTCTGTTTTCACATATTTGTAAATTGAGACAATTATAGTAAAATAATTAGAAGTGAATTTTTATTTATGACTTTAAATTCAAATGAACCCAATTGACTCTCAAATGAGAATTACTCCGCACAGTGGGGAGTAATTTGCTACCCAAAGAGAGCATATGCTTCTTTGCTTCCCCTCCTCTCTTTCTCACTCTTCTGCATTTCATCTTCCAATTTCTCTCTTTCATTTTGCCTTGTCCTCCAATCTAAACCCCTTTATCTTGACTCATCTAATATGAAGTACCTTTGGCTTTTTCACTTTTTGATCTTTGGTGCCAACGGATACCATCGGCAACACAGGCAATGCCATCATGGCGATCAGAATAGGGCACCTAACTGCCACCCACTTTGTTACTAGAACGACAAGAAAAAGGTGAATTATAATTTTTTTCACTTCATCTCCACAGCAGAATCCTGGCCAAAAATAGCACACAGGGAAAAATCCTGTTGGTGACTTAAATGATATGTATTTAGGGAACATGTGGCACCAACATGAGTAATTGGCTAAGAGAGTGGTTTTAAAGTCAGAATTTTAACTTAAAAAAAAATATTACATAGCAATAACATCTTCTAATCACCAATCACTGTGATTCTTAGCAGTAGAACCACCTGCTGGAAATTTAATATTAGTTCGAAACAGTTTCATGCGAGTCTGAATTTAATAAAAGTAGATATTTAAAAAAAAAAAAGTAGATAGTCTTGTGACTCTAAATTTTGTACTTTTCATCATCTCTGACCTGTCCCAAATTTTTGAGGCAAACTAAAGGTACCAAACCTGTTCCATGCACCAGTATCCTCTGAATTCTGAAAGGAATGTTGTGTTTCTCTTACCGAAAATGATGCTCCTCTGACCATATGTAGCTCACGTTACTGCACCTTGATCCTGTGTTGCACAGGAGGCCTTGTACAAAAGGAAAGACACCCCGGCTGGGGAGATCCCGAGGTTGCAAATAACCTGAATATAGATGGAAAAAATGAGTCCATATATTTGGTACCAGCAGTGGAAGACTTATTGAGTTAAAAGAAATATACTGGGCCCTCCCTGGTGGTGCAGCGGGTTAAAGCATAGCACTAAGAAACTAAAGCCACTTCAGCATGAGTTCGATCCCCATCCTGGAGGTGATCCACATGGCACTACAGACCTCTCCTGGCCCACATGTTGCTCCCTCAGCAGTGAACTTAGTTCAGTCAGCCTGTTCTGCTCCCCACGCTGTCTCTGGTGTATCCTCTCACCACCCCTGCACCTCTGGCCTGTACCCCAGTTCTGTATGCATAAATAAAATAAATCTTTTAAAAAAATAAAAAAGAATAATATCAAGAATCATGGTCACCAAAAGGGGTGTTCAGTGGATCAGATTCTTGCACTTTGTCTACAAGACTAAAGAACTTGCAAGCTAATATCAGGCCCACCAGAACTGCAGGTAGGATGAGTGAAGGGAATAGACATTTGTGGGCCATTTTCTCAGTCACACTCAGTGTTGGGTATAGTTTCATAACTAGCTTTCTCATCAATTCCTTGTCACTACAGGAACAGGGAAAAATCCAAATCTCTGCTTATGGGCACAGTCCCAAGAAATATAGCTATTGTGATCTTACCATGGAACTCGATAAACACTCATTCCACTTACTGGTAAGAGTTTATTAGGAACAGAGGAAAGCAGTCTTTTCTTCAGGGCTTTTTAATTCACAAAGCATAATAAAAAGCAAAACTTACAAGTGTCTCTATGTCTTGGAGGTTCTTGAAAACGAAGTACTGTCAGAATCATGAAAAGGATGCATGGCCAGAAGAATTCAGCAAGGGAAAGGACCTGGAAAAATGCCCCTCAAAATCAGAACTTTAATAAACCACAAAGTATTATGCTATCCCCACCTCTTACCAGGCCTTCAGTCAAGGAAATCTTTGCCTTCTCTACTGCGTGTTCTAGAATAATCCCTGGAGACAGAAGTCCACAGAGATGGTATAGTTCCTTTCTGCCACATGCAGATCCATTGCTGTGTCAGCTCTTTATGTTTCTATCAACAAACCTTGTCTTTGTATCACCAGGCTTCCTTTCCCTCCATATTTTTATTTATTACAAACTACATGACAATGGTAAATAATTTTTCAAATTTCTCATAGTCCAACAAATTGTTTTTATATTTTTAGTTTCTTTACTGTTCTTGAATTTTCCATCTAAATATGTTGTGATTTACTTTCATTTTATGAATATTTTCTAGTATTGCCACATGTAGTTTATAATTATCATCTTACTGGTTGTATAACATTCTTACCAAGTGGTTATACCAAAATCTAAATTTTCTACCAACGAACATTCTTTGTATAATTATTTTTCTATTGCTTTTGTGAATTTGGAACAAATTTCTGAAACCCAGAAAGAGCTACAAAAGGATTGCACTAAAGTTATATAACCCTGAATTTTCAGTCAAAAAATGGAGCTGCCATTTATACATGGAATTTTTTTGAGGAAGAAAAATATCCAAGTTATAGTATTAATATTTTATTAATAGAAAATCCTCCACTACCATAATCATTTTTATTGTTATTATTATATAAGTTTGTATTGTGGGTGTTATTGGCTTCTGTTCATGCCATTTGATAAATACAAAATTTCTAGCCAGATAAAATATAGGTAAGTTATTCAACAATGTACAAACAAAAACCTAAAAATTGTGAAGTTAACAAATTAAGACTAGTCAATAAAATGTTAAAAAAGATGCCTTATTGTTTCAACTCCCGCTTACAATGCTCTAAGTTACAATGAAGATCTAGTCTCATTTGATGCATTGTTCCTTAAAGTATAGCTGCCATATCTGCCCAATTCTGTGAAGTTTAGCAAACACATCTAAATGTGCCCAGATGAGAGATACAACCTGAAATCATAAAGATGAAACAGGTGGAAAAGAACGTTTTAAAATCTGTATAATTAAAGAAGAAAAGAATTCACCCTCTTTGAAGTAATTCATGGGGAAATGGTTATTGTGTCACAAAGTGCATGATTATGAAAAGTTCTGTGACAAAGTGCTGACGCCCAATATCATGTATTCCAAGCAGCAGAGAAAATACCAGCAAGAGGCCTCTCTCAGGACTAAGGGACCATAATTAAGCCAAAAAGAAATGTCAGGAGCACTCATAAGACCACTGTTCATCTAAGGCATTTTGTTTATTCTCCATAGCAATGTCATTATTGGCATGTGGCGGGTAGCGAATGGTAGGGAGCATTACCAGTTAATTCTGGCTGAATAGAAATGTGGAAAATAGAAACATAATTCAAGTAGAACAATAACTTGACAACACTAGTAAAAATAAATACATAATTAACAGAAATGATGTCTCAACACTAGGAACGGATCCAAGCCAAAGATAGTGTTCCTGCTGTCCAGAGGCATCTAGAGTAGATGTCACTGGAGACACTGCTTCAGGGAAAACACATATTTAGTAAACCTATTAGTGCTTACAAAATTGCAACCACTCTGCAAATTACAAAGCCTTCTTCCCCCACCCCACAGAGTCCAGGAGGGAAGTTGCCACCAGGATGACAGAAGCACCCAGCCCTATACCCCAAATTTTACAGCCGTAGCACCTCTCTCACGTCATTCTCAAGTGCCCACTCCTCAAGTCCTTAAGATAGCTGAGATATGATTGTATTTGGGGACGCTGAAGCCAAACATATCTACTCATATACCCCTGAGAAAAATGGCATGTTGAAACTTCCTCACAGATTTTGTTTATCCCACACAAGTTGAGAGAGGTGGGATTGGAAGGGAGAGAAAGAAGTTAAAGGAAAGAGACGACTTTAACTAATTTTAAAAACTATAAAATGTCAAAATTTGTGTAGTCAAAAATTAAAGAATTTACACACAAGTTTGTAAAGCAAATCACACAAGCCTATGGTGACTCCTAATTCAGCCAAGAAACTCCAAAGCAATAAAAACATACCCCCAATAATCCAGACAGCCTCCTCCCATCCACATGAGCAGAAGTAAGGCCTGGAAGGAGTGTCCTTATAATAGAGGAGTTGGGGTTATTGCTGTTGGGAACAATCAACTGAAATATGAAAAGTGAACAATGAGGATGTCTGTGGGAGAAATCTCCAGGGCTATACATTAAAATGTGGAAAGATATTAAATGTGGAGAGCAATTTCCCCAGCTAGATGGAGTGAATATGATTCAAGATATGTAACATATCAAAGGACAACACAGAGACCAGCCAGCCTCATAATGACTGTATCTCACTTCAGGTATTCTGCACTCATTATCATTACCATCCCAACAATCCTTCTGCTACAAAAAAAAAAAATTGTGGCACGCTGGATATGCTGAAAGAACATTGAAGTTTAAAGGAGAAATCAAACGGGTTTCAGATTTACTGGGTGGGGGGGGGAAGGAACAGTCAAAGATACATATAACACCTGGACTGAGCCACCCAAGTATGAGTCAGATTAAAAGAAAGCAAAACATCTATCTAAACATTTCAAAGGAAAATGAACAAAGAAAAGCAAGCAAAGAAAACCATACAGTATGAATAAAAAAAAAATTCCTTTACACCAAAGAATTTCTTTACAATAAAGAACAATTTAATAAAAGCTAATGTTCAGAAAGCAAGAGTTCAAAAGCAAAGACAACTCTTCCCAAATACAAAGCTCAAGACCAGATGAATTCTCAAATGAATTCTACCAAACATTCAGAAAAAAAACTAGTGGCTAATCTTACACAAAGTCTTCCAAAAAGTTGAGAAGGAAGGGATACGACCAAATACATTTCATGAAGCCAGCATTACCCTACTACCAAAACTGAAAAAGGACAACACAAAAAAAAGAAAACTACAGGCCAATCTCTCTAATGAACACTGATGCAAAAAATCCTCAATAAAATCTTAGCCAACAGAACCCAACAATGCATTGAAGAATCTGAAAGCTGCTATTTTAGAGAGGAGGGGCAGGCATTCCTCTTGATTGATGTGTGGGAGGGACATGATCTGGCCATTTCAGGGGACCAATCACAATGGCCAGCAGCCAGCCATATCATACATGGAAAGCATGTAAAGGTCAACCAATCAGGAACTGCCAAGGTCAACCAATCAGAAACTGCCCCTGTTCTGCACAACAAAAAAGATATATAAGCTGTGCTCCCCTTTGTTCCCGGGCCCTTCCTGGTAACCAGATGTTGCTGGTTGCGGTCAAGTCCAGGTTTTCCTGTGCTGTTGCAGCAGTGGCCTGGTCTTTTTCTCGGTGGTGCATCTCACAGGTCAGGGTACATCAATAAGATACTTCATTAAAACCAAGTAGGACTTATTCCAAAGTCACAAGGATGGTTCAACATCTGAAAATCAATTAATGTAATCCAACACATAAATAAAAAGAAAAATAAAAACCATATGATCATACCAATAGATACTGAGAAAGCATTCAACAAAGTTCAACATTCATTTATGATGAAGGTCCTTGAAATTCTTGGGATTAAAGGAATATATTTAACAAAGGACAAGCTCATAGCCAATATAATTCTTTTTTTTTTAAGACTTATTTAAGACTAGTTATGCATACAGAACTAGGATACAGGCCAGGGGTGCAGGAGTGGTGAGAGGATTCACCAGAGATAGAGTGGGGAGAAGAACAGGCCAACTGATGAAGTACACTGCTGAGGGGAGCAGCAGGAGGGTCAGAAGAGGTCTGTCGCACCATGTGGATCACCTCAGGGATGGGGATTGAACGCATGCTAAAGTGGCGTTAGCTTCTTAGTGTTATGCTTTAACCTGCTGTACCACCAATATAATTCTTAATGGTGAAAAACTGAAAGTCTTTCTGTTAATGTCAGGAACAAGACAAGGATGTCCACTCTCACCACTGCTTTTCAATATAGCAGTGGAAGGCCTAGCCAGAGTAATAAGACAAGAGAAAGATATACAAGGAATCCAATAGGGAAAGAAGAGTAAAAATATCACTATTTGCAGATTTACATAAAGAACCAAAAAATTCCACAGAAAAACTGATCAAAATGACCAATTTAGTAAAGCAGCTGAATATAAAATCAACACAGAAAAATCAGTAGCCTTCCTATATGCAAACAATCAATCTGAAGAAAAAAATAAGAAAACCATCCCTTTTGTAATTAAAACAAAAATAATCAGATACTTGGGTATAAGTCTAACAAAAGAGGTGAAGGACCTCTGCAAAGAAAATTATAAAACATTAATAAAAGAAATAGAGGAGGATGCAAAAAAATGGAAAGATATCCCTTGCTCATGGATTGGAAGAATTAACATAGTCAAAATGGCCATCCTGCCAAAAGCAATTCACAGATTCAATGCTATTCCAATGAAAATTTTAATGTTATTAAAAGAAATAGAACAAATATTGATGAAATTGATATTGAACCACAAGAAACCTTGAATAAAAAAGCTCTCCTGACTAAAAAAAAAAAAAAAAAAAAGAAAAAGGCAAAGGAGATAGCACACTCCCAGACTTCAAATTATACTACAAAGCCATAATAATTAAAACTGCATGATACTGGAACAAATACAGACACACCAACCAATGTAATTGAGTAGAAAGCCTAGAAATTAACCCACAGACCTATCAACAACTAATCTTTATAAAGGAGTAAAGAATATGCAATGTAACAAAGACTTGTTCAATTAATGGTGCTTGGAAAACTGGACCACTAAATGCAAAAGAATGAAGCTATATTACTGCCTCACACCATGCACAAAAATCAACTCAAAATGGATTAAAGAATTAGATATAAGACCTGAAAACATAAAACATGTAGAAGAAAATATAGGCAAAACACTTCATAACATACTTATCA